AGGTTATTGTGCCCTGTATAGAGAGGTATGATCTATATATAGAAGTGCCTGATATAGGGAGGTTATTGTATATAGAGGTTATTGTGCCCTGTATAGAGAGGATGTATATATAAAAGTGCCTGATATAGGGAGGTTATTGTATATAGAGGTTATTGTGCCCTGTATAGAGAGGATGTATATATAAAAGTGCCTGATATAGGGAGGTTATTGTATATAGAGGTTATTGTGCCCTGTATAGAGAGGATGTATATATAAAAGTGCCTGATATAGGGAGGTTATGGTATATAGAGGTTATTGTGCCCTGCATAGAGAGGATGTATATATAAAAGTGCCTGATATAGGGAGGTTATTGTATATAGAGGTTATTGTGCCCTGTATAGAGAGGATGTATATATAAAAGTGCCTGATATAGGGAGGTTATGGTATATAGGGGTTATTGTGCCCTGTATAGAGAGGATGTATATATAAAAGTGCCTGATATAGGGAGGTTATTGTATATAGAGGTTATTGTGCCCTGTATAGAGAGGATGTATATATAAAAGTGCCTGATATAGGGAGGTTATTGTATATAGAGGTTATTGTGCCCTGTATAGAGAGGATGTATATATAAAAGTGCCTGATATAGGGAGGTTATGGTATATAGGGGTTATTGTGCCCTGTATAGAGAGGTATGATCTATATATAGAAGTGCCTGATATAGGGAGGTTATTGTATATAGAGGTTATTGTGCCCTGTATAGAGAGGATGTATATATAAAAGTGCCTGATATAGGGAGGTTATGGTATATAGAGGTTATTGTGCCCTGTATAGAGAGGATGTATATATAGAAGTGCCTGATATAGGGAGGTTATTGTATATAGAGGTTATTGTGCCCTGTATAGAGAGGATGTATATATAAAAGTGTTTGTAAATTGCTTGAAATAATCCTATTTTGGGGTTCTATTTATGTCCATGTACTTCTGCAGAGTCTTCAATTATCATATTGTTCAGGTTTAGATCTGTGTAAAACAAATGTTATTTATAGTTTAGTGTCTGTAAAATACATCATTGTATGAGTGTTGTATTGTGTTTTTACATACTGACGGCAGAGTAACTTACGTAGAACCAGCAGTGGTGTCTTCATCTTTTCTTTACACCAGTGTCAAATGGTTGTGTGGTAACCTAACATAACTTCACAAGATCTTACATAGATATTGGGGACTGGTCAAGTAACTTCATCTTGGCCAAGTAAACAAAAGTTAAACTTCTATTATAGGATCTGTAAAAGATTACATATAGCCATTGTCCAACAGAATGAGACTTTATTTCAAATTTCATTGGGATAATGTTTGATTATTACGTGATGAAAACTCTATATGACATTATCAGTGGATAAGTTGGATTTATGGGTGAAAACAAGGGACCATAACTGCTATTTTAAGTTGTGACCTATATAATCTACTTAATGTGACCTATATAATCTACTTAATGTGACCTATATAATCTACTTAATGTGACCTATATAATCTACTTATTGTGACCTATATAATCTACTAAATGTGACCTATATAATCTACTTATTGTGACCTATATAATCTACTAAATGTGACCTATATAATCTACTTATTGTGACCTATATAATCTACTAAATGTGACCAATATATTCAGCTAAATGTGAAAAATGTAGTACTTGTTAACTTTAAGTTGTTTTTTTTTCAAATTGAATGGCAGTTATAAGAGCAATCCAGGCAGGATTTATTGTTAAGGAAACAGAAATGTGTTGAAATCTATTATATGTTTATCCTTAGGACTTGATATCAGAATCATTGAGATGAAACTTTCATTCAATATACATGCATGAGTCAATGTGACCTTGAAATTGTTAAAGGTCACCTAATCACCATGGGAATGTTGCTATGTGAAGCTGGCCTGATGGAGAGACCTATATGACATGCTTACCAGTATGTTACTAGTATGAGCGTATCCTAAACAGGAACAAAATTATCTCCGAGCTGTACTGGGCACTCTGTTGACACACTGTCAACACACAATCTGGCCCTCGATGGCACGGGATTGATTTTTGTGTTTTTCCTAAGTGAATCATACACTTGGTGCAAACCCCTATGACAAAAGGTATTCTGGAAGAAATCGGTGACTAATGCTGCGTCTTGTCTACTTTTGCTTTAGACACATTATAGGGACGATCCTGTAATATTATCAATGTAACCATTCTGGACGATCTAAAATTGCAGATGCACATAAAGTTGGAATTAAAGATAGATTGTTGTTTTTTGTTAATGTTTGTGGAGAACCATGCATGATATTTGACTCTTGACTTTCAAATTTTAAAAGACATAACATTTTCCCCAAAATTTGAATGGTGAAAAACATGGATGGTATTAACACATATGCATTGATGCTTTAGAGTCAAAACTTTTGTTAAGGGTAAAGTCATCTCCTAAAGGTCTATTGGAATCTGGAAACATCCATAAGCTGACCTTAAAATGTCCGTAACTGACCTTTGAATAATGTTTATCGACTAGAAGATACTTATATTTTTAGGAAGACAGGAGTCTTTAATATATATATAGATATGAAAGTTAGATTGTGATTTGTGGAAGTTCTGATCTATTGATGTGGAAATTTAGGATATATGCAAAATTTTAGTGACACCCTATCCCAGACCCTAATGAGTACACACATGTTCAAAATGTGAAAAGCTTCAAGGACTTCTGGGGTGATCGAATGCTTGCCAATGTACACATGTACACTGTGTGTGTATTTAGGAAGCTTAAAACATCCCTGATTGATAAAATTGTAAAAACTTCCTGGTAGTATATAGCCTTCTGGATTAGACTGGTCTAGAACAATTTGTGAGGAAATGTTCTATTTGAACATAGGTTCCGCTTCTACTCGTTAGAAATACTTTGTTTTCACCCTAAAATTCCTGATCTGAGTGAAAGCTGCGGATATCAAGAACTTGATATCATTTAAATCATCACTTTTATCAAATATATTCTGTATTGTGATTTGTGTTTGGTCAGATGCTGATTGTATTAATCTGAACAGCTTAATGGAGAGGTTTAAAATTCAGTGCCATTTATTTTATTCAAGTTTCATTTCTTTGGCTGGAAAAACTGGATATTTTCTGTTGTATACCCCTCAGTGCATCTTGATTCTAGGCTCGTAGACCTGAGAGTTGTACGTTCTAACATGTGCTGATCTGTTGATTGGAATTTTGATAATTCCTGAGAGGAGAATTCGGACATGTATTTTTCAGAATGTTAGATCTTGATCATCTCCCATTAGTATGAAGGTAAGTAGAACTTTGTACTGATAAAGGAGGAGAGGGAGTGGGGTGGGAGGGGGATAGTGGGAAGGGTTTGAGACCGGGTGCATGGAGAGAGGGTAATTTCTTTGAGGTATATGATACCGGTGATTTTGTTTAGGATGTTTGATTCTCAAGAAAGCTGTGCTTTAGGCATGGTCAATCTGGTCTCAATAACCTATAAATTCATGTACTACAGGAATGGTCTCATATCAAAACACGTTCAAATTCTGTTTACACTTTTTGCAACAGAATGGTTTCCGATATTTATGTCTAACTGTCTTATCACTTCTCCAAGTCTCGGCATGAAAAAAATTTTAAGGGGCCAGAAGGGTCATTGTTTAGGGGTCAGACTGTACATTTTTAGATGTCATAAATGACATTGTTTAGGGGTCAGACTGTACATTTTTAGATGTCATAAATGACATTGTTTAGGGGTCAGACTGTACATTTTTAGATGTCATAAATGACATTGTTTAGGGGTCAGACTGTACATTTTTAGATGTCATAAATGACATTGTTTAGGGGTCAGACTGTACATTTTTAGATGTCATAAATGACATTGTTTAGGGGTCAGACTGTACATTTTTAGATGTCATAAATGACATTGTTTAGGGGTCAGACTGTACATTTTTAGATGTCATAAATGACATTGTTTAGGGGTCAGACTGTACATTTTTAGATGTCATAAATGACATTGTTTAGGGGTCAGACTGTACATTTTTAGATGTCATAAATGACATTGTTTAGGGGTCAGACTGTACATTTTTAGATGTCATAAATGACATTGTTTAGGGGTCAGACTGTACATTTTTAGATGTCATAAATGACATTGTTTAGGGGTCAGACTGTACATTTTTAGATGTCATAAATGACATTGTTTAGGGGTCAGACTGTACATTTTTAGATGTCATAAATGACATTGTTTAGGGGTGAGAAGGGACCTTTACTACCTTGACTAAGATGTAACAATACCCTGAGAATATTGGAATATTTGTACATGTCTTCTGCCTCCCAACAGGATCTACTGATATCACGATTTAAAACAGGACCTGGTGACTCAGTTAACGTGACTACAAACATGGTTATTTACCTATCCTGTGGACAATTGTAATGATGTGTTGTTATCTTACCTTTGTATGATGCAGATTTCATCTTTTACATTACTTACATACTTGAGGTAAGTCAGATTTCAGTTTCCCAGGATGGACTGTACTTAATATTTATAGATATACCAAAGTATAGATATACCTAATACAAAGTCTCCCTGCTTCCTACCAACTGGTCAAGAGAGGACCTTTTTTACACTTGTAATATAAGGGACATGTGTTTGATACTGGTTCTAGTATGGTGACACACAGGTACTAGAGTGGAATGTAATTCTTGTGTGCAGCAATACTTCAGTTAAGTACACAGGGAAATTTCACACTTTAGTGTAGCTCACCGTGACGTTTATACTCACTTACTGCACAAAGTGAAAACTGATATTTTGTGTGTTGGTTACTGTGAGAACTGATTAGAAATTACCATAATTGTTTAGAATGGTGTCTAAATTATATTAAATATGATAGACTAGCAATGTCCAGAGTTTTATTCTGGGTTCATAATGAGGCCTATGGTTAAAATCACCTGGATTTACATCAGTATGAGATGACCTGTTATTAATACACACAAGTCAGGAATCCAAGGCTCATTAACTATCTCGTTTCTTAAAGCTGCTAGGGTGACATTCCTGGCATTTTATAAAGCCTGTGAAGGAAATTGCTTGCCTTAAATAGATACAAATGTTTTGTATGATAAGTTAATTTATTTGAAGATATACTTCTAGGTGTATCTCTTTTAAATACTATATGATATATAAAATGTTCCACAAGAGAGCACTTCTTGACTTGAGAAAGCTAGAGGTCTCGGTTCGATCCCTAGTGCAGACCATTGAAATGAATAATTACCTCTGCCACAGATGTCATCTTCCTCTTCTGTCTTTCCACTGCCGCTGACCACTACAATAAGTGTTTTCTTTCCCTTCTGTCCACTGCCGCTGACCACTACAATAAGTGTTTTCTTTCCCTTCTGTCCACTGCCGCTGACCACTACAATAAGTGTTTTCTTTCCCTTCTGTCCACTGCCGCTGACCACTACAATAAGTGTTTTCTTTCCCTTCTGTCCACTGCCGCTGACCACTACAATAAGTGTTTTCTTTCCCTTCTGTCCACTGCCGCTGACCACTACAATAAGTGTTTTCTTTCCCTTCTGTCCACTGCCGCTGACCACTACAATAAGTGTTTTCTTTCCCTTTGTCCACTGCCGCTGACCACTACAATAAGTGTTTTCTTTCCCTTCTGTCCACTGCCGCTGACCACTACAATAAGTGTTTTCTTTCCCTTCTGTCCACTGCCGCTGACCACTACAATAAGTGTTTTCTTTCCCTTCTGTCCACTGCCGCTGACCACTACAATACGTGTTTTCTTTCCCTTCTGTCCACTGCCGCTGACCACTACAATACGTGTTTTCTTTCCCTTCTGTCCACTGCCGCTGACCACTACAATAAGTGTTTTCTTTCCCTTCTGTCCACTGCCGCTGACCACTACAATAAGTGTTTTCTTTCCCTTCTGTCCACTGCCGCTGACCACTACAATAAGTGTTTTCTTTCCCTTCTGTCCACTGCCGCTGACCACTACAATAAGTGTTTTCTTTCCCTTCTGTCCACTGCTGCCGACCACTGCTACAAACATACTTTTTCTCTTCTGCCTTTTCCTTCCAGTTGCTGACCTCTGCCACAAATGCACCCTGCCTCTTCTGTCTTTCCCCTCCAGTTGCTGACCTCTGCCACAAAAGACCCCTTCCTCTTCTGTCTTTCCCCTCTGGTTGCTGACCTCTACCACAAATGTCATCTTCCTCTTCTGTCTTTCCACTGCTGCTGACCACTACAATAAGTGTTTTCTTTCCCTTCTGTCCACTGCTGCTGACCACTGCTACAAACATACTTTTTCTCTTCTGCCTTTTCCTTCCAGTTGCTGACCTCTGCCACAAATGCACCCTGCCTCTTCTGTCTTTCCCCTCCAGTTGCTGACCTCTGCCACAAAAGACCCCTTCCTCTTCTGTCTTTCCCCTCTGGTTGCTGACCTCTGCCACAAATGCCACCTTCCTCTTCTGTCTTTCCCCTCTGGTTGCTGACCTCTGCCACAAATGCCACCTTCCTCTTCTGTCTTTCCCCTCTGGTTGCTGACCTCTACCACAAATGCCCCCTTCCTCTTCTGTCTAATCACTGTTGGTATCTAAAGTCTTCTCTTTGGGTTATCTCCAAGGGTACTACATTTCTTCATAAGGACATTAGGGTGGGTCCAATGTTCATAGATCCATGTATTTCTGAATACTTCATTCTAATGATCTTCAATGATGCTGCCAGGCCTTAATATCATTATTGAAGTGATCTTGGTACAGATTATTTATTTTGCATTGAACACTGTTTTGGCCAGAGTGAATGGTGATTGGCTCTCATGGACTATTAACTGGCTGCCCAATAATAACACTATATCAATGTTACCATGGTAACAAGGAAAGTAAGTTATCATGTTATAAACTAGATGTGTTACAAGCATTTCTTGCCACGAGAAATCTGAAATCAGGGCTTTAGTTGTTATGATCAATCTACATGGTATTTTACTTTAAATTAAGCATCTTTTTGATGAAGATGTTTAATAGATATGACAGGCTTATGATTTCTTAAACCTATAATCAACAGGAACATGGATTTAGAATCTGTTGTACATAAATCCAAACTCTATCAGAGAAAAGAACTATGAAAGCCATACTAAAGGACATTAAAAAGGAAGCTTTTCATTTGAAGTTTAAATATGATGTTTTTCTGGTGTAGAACTGGTCAGATATTTATGCAAAAGATGGCAGTACATCATGAGTTTGTCAGATACAGAAGTAACTTTTAAGATGGCAGTACATCATGAGTTTGTCAGATACAGAAATAACTTTAAAGATGGCATTACACCCATAGAACTGGTCAGAGACAGACACTGACAAGATGGTAGTACATTATGAACTTGTCGTATACAGACATATACTCATTCACAATTTATCAGATGCATTAGAATTTCCAGCAACAACCTGCAAGAACTGAATGGGAAATCTTCTACCTAGAGGCACAATGTGCCTGTTGCTTCATGTAAACGTAGCATTTCTTTTATATCTTCTATGTAACAAATTTGCATATATATTTTGTGTACCCTGATTCCTTATACCATAGTATCTATGTCTATATTGATATATCATTTGATGTTAGAGGACAATTAGACTTGGAGGTTAGGTTGACATTAAATAGCCCTACAGTTAAGATTGCATTAGGTCAACTTCATGAACAATATCAGAGTTGTGTCCCCTGGTTGATTGGGAACAATGTAACAAAAATACCAGTTGATTCTCAAGTACCAATATTAAATCCAAAGATAGTTATTGAAATCATGCTGTCTTAAACAGGATTTTGTCCCATCAAATTATAGAATTTCAAATTTAATCTGTTTCTTTCTTAACAATTATTCTGTCAATCATTTCTTTTATATAGAAGGGGGAGTTGAAAAGTTCATAGAACTAGGTACACATAACTAGTCAAGGGTCAAACGAAATCTATTCATATTTACATATTATGTATTTGCAATTATAAACAAATCACAGGTATAGTATCAACTCGTAAACAGGCAAATACTCACACCTGATGGTAACCACAGTGTCCACTCATAACTAGTAATGATCTCAACCTCAAAAATTGATGGAGATGACCATATTTGGTCAGTGAATTATCATACCAACCTACCCTCCCCCCCTCTCCCCATGTCATATATCCATGAGTGTGATTTGACTAAGGTTTGTTCCATCAGCTTGTCATGGTCAAACAGAATACTCCAGTCTAACTTTTTCATGTTTCTTTCATAATACAATATCCCTTCTTCCTTGGGAAATGAAATTTCTAAGAAAAGTATGCCCACCTTTTTATATGTGTTGAGTTTGATAAGGTATAGGTATGAAGTTTTAAGTTGACTATGGTGTATGTTAAATGAAGCTCTGCAGGTAGGTATTGGGCTGGTATTGGTACTTTGACAGGTTGACGTGTAACTCAAACACCTAGGTATGACAAATCAGAATGAACAGGCGGAGTAAAGCTCTGACCACACAGATGTGATATGCCCGGGGTGAAATATCAGTGTGGGTCATATAAGTGTAAAGCTGAAGTTTCTCCTTGTCATACATGTATACAGGTATACTGTGCTCACATATGTATATATATTACCTCGACCCTTACTCATAGTCCCACAGGTACATACGTCACACATCTACAAATATTTACACGGTAATCAGTGAACCATGCCATCATCTGAGTCTGTCATGCATGACGCAGAGTGACAGTGTGTAAGGAGCATTCGATGTGTAGCAGCAGTCCTAAAGCCTATGCAAGCTTTTCACAATTTCTTTACTGGATTTATTTTAGCTATTAGAGACTTGGATTAAGATATTTCGCAAGGTAAGTACAAAAGAGTTCTACTACAAGTGTTCTGCGAGGTTCCCTGGTATGGTATATTTTTAGCCTGTATGTAAACAAATAGTTGGGATTCCCCTGTTTGGTGACAGAATTGTTTAACTAAGTAGTAATCATAAGATTAAGGTAATACACAGGTAAATGATGCAAAGGAACTGTTTAGTACTCTAAGGTCAGGGAGTTGCAATCAAAAAGGGATTGTAGTTTTAGAGATCTAGCAGATAATGTTGAAAGGATGTAGTGATAATGTATTCTTAGGCCGTAAAAAGTACACAGCACTGAAAATTGGATCTGTAAAGTTTGCTGTGTGTATATATACAGATAACAGATTTAGATAGATGATAAATGATTGGGAGACAGAGATTCTGCTGCAGTATACAGTACTTGGATGGATATGGGCTGTACCATAAAGCTGTGAGAGACTGCAACAAATGTGAAGTTCAGGAGACAATATAAACCTTTCTAATTAAATGGATTGTCTAATACGTGATGAGAATATGTAATATGGAGCAGACAGACCCAAATTGAAACCTGAACACAAAATGATAAGGATTTTTACCTATTGAGAATAGCCTGTAGCAGGTCCAGTGAGTGTTATACTTTGCCTTCCATTTTTAAGTCTTTGCCCTTAATGTTTTCTAGTATTGTACCTTGGCTAGTCTATCAAGACATTATCATGATCACTACTTACTGAGATAGAAGAAAAGATTGGGCCAGCTAGGCTGGAGGATTCCAACCCTGTACCTCCAAGCTCCCTAAAGATATCTATTTTATATGAAGAAAATATCGGGTGTAAGTAAGTAAACATAACCAATGTGGTTATTTATTTCAATGCCTCCACTAGGATTCATGTCGAGGACCTCGGGCTTACTAGTCAGACCCTCAACTGATCAAGTTGTATATTGCGACTAGTATTTACCAAGGTTACATACTCCTCCTTCAGGAAAGCATTGGTCCTGGAGTTTCCAGTGGTTACAGCGATGCTTGTGAAAGTAATGCTAAGCATTATTCCAGAATCCTTAAATGGGCGCAAATGTAACTGAGGCCATTATTCATTTCATTGTCTGACTCTCAACCGGTTCAGCTGAAGAGTTCTCTCTAGCCGAGCAGTTTGTCGAGATTAGTATTTACATAGATTACATAAACATTGGCACTCATGATTTATTTCTAATATCACATATTATCCCATATATAAGGCATTACAGAAGGATCAAATTAAAATAGGACCATTTCCTAGCTTTTCTCACAAATTTCTTCTAAATCAGATGGATGGTACAGATATACAGGTAATAGATACAGACATATGATGAGAGTAGACTGTCATTGGCTTTAGACAGGTGGTTGTTTTAGACAAGCAATCAATATATACAGGTAATAGAGTTGAATAGGGACTGTCTCTGGCTGTAGATAGGTAGTTGCTTTAGACATGTAGTATAGACATACAGGTAACAGATACTGACATATGATATTTGTCCATCTTGAGTTGGTGTTCCTGGATGACTGAGGGTATGTGTAACTTGATGACTTTGAGAGAATGCTTACCTTGTCAACTTTGTAGGTTTGTGTACCGGAATGACTTTAAGAGTAGGTTTACCTAGATCACTTTGAGGGTAGGATTAACTGGATGCCTTTCAGGGTAGGTTTGCCAGGATGCCTTTCAGGTTAGGTTTGCCAGGATGACTTTGAGGGTAGGTTTGCCAGGATGACTTTGAGGGTAGGTTTACCTGGATGCCTTTGAGGGTAGGATTAACTGGATGCCTTTCAGGGTAGGTTTACCTGGATGCCTTTCAGGTTAGGTTTGCCAGGATGACTTTGAAGGTAGGTTTACCTGGATGCCTTTGAGGGTAGGTTTGCCAGGATACCTTTGAGGGTAGGTTTGCAAGGATGCCTTTGAGGGTAGGTTTGCCAGGATGCCTTTGAGGGGTAGGTTTACCTGGATGCCTATGAGGGTAGGTTTGCCAGGATGCCTTTGAGGGTAGGTTTACCTGGATGACTTTGAGGGTAGGTTTGCCAGGATGACTTTGAGGGTAGGTTTACCTGGATGCCTTTGAGCGTAGGTTTACTAGAAGGATGTCATTTCTTTAGATATTAACACCAAAATGACATAGCACTCTCCTTACATGAACAGTCTTACTGGGATTCAGGATATAGTCAGATCATGTACTGGACAAGTTATAATGATTCTGATATTCAGACTATGGAGATGATGTAATAAAACAATTCTGTAGACTAAATACAGTCTGATTTATCAAGGTCTAGTTTTCTTGTATACTGACAAAATACAGGTAAATTTCTATGTACAGTTGTGGGTATCGTTGTCTAATCACAGGTATTAATACAATATTGTGAAATAGTGCTGATACAGATAACAACATTACAAGTTAATGTGTATTAAAGGTTGAGACTTATATATAATTATGGCTAGTAGTCTAGATATATTATAGGAGATATTTCATATGGTTTCAATAGTCTTTATTTATGTTGGCCTGGTCTGATGTTATTATCTACGTAGTATGTTAAGATGACATTGTTTACCTGTCCATTTCAGCTGAAGGCTATTTACATGTTATGATGACAGATTAACATGCTAACTACATATAGACAGGTCATAATGAAGAGGAAATTGGAAAAAAACCTATTCTATGGTTTAACTTAGACGAGAGTTGAGATTTCGTAATAAATCCTGGACGGAAATAATGCATTGTTATGTACCTTCATTACGTAGATAAAACATTTTAGGAGAACACTTTGTAACAGGTTTGTTTAACTGTAAAGTGTTAACATTGTATTTTATTTTCAAATATTCTGAAATGACAATGGAAAAAAACAAACAAACAAAAAAAGAAAATGGCATTTATTATACTAATTATTAAAGGTAGATAATTGAAGAAAGTTTGAACATAGATATACATTTGACAATGATTTGTGATGAAAGCTACACATTTAAATAGTTAATAGAATAGATCTCACTGATGGAAGGACTAGTCATTTTTGCAGGTTACTGTTTATTTAATAGCTTAATGCTGACCATCTGGTATATACACAAGACAAACTGGCTGAAGGCTAGTGGATGGAGGATGGGGGAACTGCAACACATATCTCCAAATTACTAGGTGGTGGATTTACACAGTGACTACATAGGGATATATATATATTAAGTCTTTGACCAGTCAGTCAGTGGATAAAGACCAGTCAGTCAGTGGATAATTATATAACTGTGACTAAACAGTCGTAAACCTACCCACCCGGTAAGGTAAGGACACGATTTGTGTACCCATAGCTATTTATAGACTGTTTACCCAGCGATAAATCAAACTTTATTATTGCTGAAATAAAACAGGATGATAGTGAGTCAGATCGGTGTTGCCTGGGTGTTTGTGTACTGAACTTGATACTCAATGTATACAGCATCATAATTCTTTTTATTTTGATAGACCAGTACAAAGTTTTCAGCCACACACAACAGAGACTCTAAATCTTGTATTTAGTAAAATACGGGATAAATCAAGCAGAATTTAAAGCAAATTATCCTTAAGAATCTGTTATATAGTTCATTGCAATAGATTTGAATTCTTACTTGTTATTGTTTGTTTTGAAATGCTTTGACAGTCCTACCTTGACCAAGGTTAACGAGGGACAGCCCTAATTGACCTAAGTTTCCTTACCTATATACATATTGTACCACTATATGTCTGTATACTGTCAACGAAAAAGATCACAATGGTTGATAATTTCAGTTGGGAATCTTTTTAATCAATGTTGACGCCTTCTTCATTGTGTTATTCTATTTCGTAATGAATAAATAATATGACACTAGCAAAATTTACGGGTCACGTCACTGTAATACATGTATGTACCGCAGAAATAAAATGTTGATTCACGATTGCCATTAAAATACCAGGGTATACTCTTCAGTAGCCAAATGCAGACAGTTCTCGGTAATTACTATTATTTGAACTTAAAGACACTGTGATAAAACTGCTCTATGAAAAATCACTCTAAAGCATATTCTGTGCTATCAAAACCCTACTTACACAGAAAATGCATCATTGCCCTATAGGTATGCAATGCATCAGAATCTATCTACCTACAGATGTCACTGCATATTCATACAGCTTAGAGTGCAGCGTCACTGTTAAAATGTCTAGCTCAATGGATTCTGTCTTAACATGAGATCCGTTCAACTTGTCGCTGTTTTTAAGTCAAAGCCAATTCAAATGTTGTTATGATGATCTTCATGTTAGTTTTTTAGAATTCTTTAATTCAATTTATGAAGCTTTGCATATTTAAGTCTCATTTCTGAAGTCATTAATTTACTACATAATCCACATGATAAACTGTAACTCAAGTGACAGCCTGACGCAGTCAAACCCTAAACCCCAATGGAGAGAGAAATTGTGACAAGACAGTGTTGGATTTACTTTATCATCGATCATGTTTACGTACAACAAGAGAAGTAGTATAATGTTACGTGGTGTGGCAGATTCAAGGTTCACTTACACTTACTCTCCCTTTACTTTCACATCCATATCATTGGGTTTTAGTCGGGACTGACGTTTTATGATAGAAAACATCAAAGTGGAATAGACATACTGCTCAGATAAAAGTTTTTAACTAGTGCTTGTTAGGAGAATGAGAATTTTCATACAGTACAAGTTAAGTCATATGTAGATATACTGCAGACAAGCTGCTTGACATTTTTCTCTGGCCACACATTTGTATTACAAGAGATTCATTTTACAAACAATATACAAAGGAGACAGGATATGGAGTAGCATATAAACAGTCATTGTAAATATTATTAAGGTTTGATTTCTATTTAAAATCACTAACTCAGTTAATCCATGTCTGATGATGGAGTCAAACTCGGGTATAATGCCTTGAGGTGAAGGGTATTACCACTGCACCACCCCACGAACCAGGACACATTTAACACTTGTGTGGCATTACTGTTTACCTGGAGTACACTTCAGAAGAGACCTCTTGTTATTTCATCCTCATGTGATCTGTTGTGGATGAGACAAGCTCACATTTCATGGAGATATACTCCATTGTTCTATGGGATACATCTCAGAAGATCAAGAGACATACCTTTAGAACTGTTCTTCTTTTATATCATTTATAACAATATTTATATGTGTTTGTAAGTACAACATTAACACAGGTGTATAATACTGGCTAGAATGTACAGTCAGCAGATTACCTGAACAACCTATATAAGTAACACATAGATATTGACTTAGAGCTAAAGGGATTAGTTACATACATAGAGCAGCTCTTCTCCATTGTAGCTTGTCCAGTCAACTACAGACATGGAGTACTTACAATAGATATGATTATCAATATTTCTAGAAATCTATTTAACCAATTTATGTCAATATATGGGACCATATAATTACCTACTGTCACCATGCACTTGAATGTATGGCTCTGCGTATGTATATCATTATAAGTGTATTTTTAGTCTGTGGTCTGTGTCATTCTCGATTATGTAAAGTTATACTGGAGTATATAATAAATCAGCTGAGCTTGTAAAAAGATTTATTCTACATGGGAAAAAAAGTATGTATTTTCTAAAACCATCTTCCTCATTTCTTGAAATGGTTTTGAGAAGTTTGATGCTTATTAAAAAGTGTTACTTGTAGGAGATTTTACAATTTTCAGAGTAACATACTGCAGTGTGCCATCACTTTTACAACATCATCCCATTGGTTACCAACACAAGATCTATTGATTTGACTGAGATAAAATTTTGATTACAAATGACGTATTCTCATACACATCCGAGAGTAGTGGATAATTATCTCCCTTGATTTATCAGACGTCTGGTGTGTGTATTTGGCAACATCCTTGCAGTGCTGAAAGTCATTGTATCAAAATATGTCAAGATCATTTTGTGCAAAATATGAGGTGAAATATCAGTGATATAACGAAACAGGTTTCATACCAATGTACAGACTTATATTGTTTATTTAGAGGCCATGATAACTCATTTGGGAAGAATGC